GGTGGTCTTAGCTTCCCGAAAGAGAGCTATTTCCCTGTGTGTAACTCGTTTCATAGTCATTCTGCCTTCTCATTGGTTGTAAACCCAAACACGTGACTGCCTCGTCACTGCCTGTATGTACAGCCCCCCAGGTCTTAAAGGCATATGTCTCCAATGCTGGCTGTATCCTTGAACACACAGAGATCTATGGGATTAAAGGCATGAACCACCACTGCCATGCTCTGTCTATGACTCTAATAGCTCTGACCCCTGGGCAACTTTATTTATTAACATACAATCAAAATCACATTTTAGTACAATTAGAATACCACCATACTTTGTATTCTTAGGAGACTCTCAGACAGGATTCACATAGGGCGGCTAGAGAAACAAAAGGTATCGGTTAAACAAAGATGGATTAGGACTAGGTGCTGCTCTCTGGAGCCAGGCCAGGTGCAGCTCAGCAGGAATGCAGCCACAGAGCCATTTCTTTCACTGGCAGAAAGGACAAATGTCTATCTGTGGTACCTATCAGCATATCAAAGTGCATGCTGGATCCAGGCTCCTTCAGTATCACAAGTAACTGTTAAAATCGGAGTTACAAAAACTTGCAAAAAGAGTTACTCAGGACAGGGCTGAGGTCTTAATAATAATGATGATGATGATGATATTAATAATAAATGGCTTATTTTTGTGATTATCAATTTCACCTGGGTAAAGCAGATGTTTATTTTCAGTCTCTGATTTATGCATCCTAATGCTCATTGTGGATGTGGAAGTCTACTGTTAGGATTTAAGCAGCAGGAGGAACCTTGGCAGGTCGGGGACAAGGTGTGCTGCTAAGAGATCACACCACACAACAAATCTAACACAAGAGGTTTATAGGGGAAAGAAAAAGGCTGTCTTGGAGTGGGGGCATGAGAGAGAGACAGACAGACAGATGAGGTAACAAGACAGAGATAAAGAACAAGAGAACAATCTGGAATGGCGGGGACCTTTTAAAGGGGTGGTGACCAGTGATGACATAGTTGCTGGGTCCCTGGGTCCCTGAGGGCAGGCTGGGGGAGAGCCTGGTTTCTAAATAGGAAGGGATGGTGGTGAGGCAGGAATGAGCATCCCGTGCTCTTTAGACTGCTTCCTGTTGTCTGGGGGCATTGACATCTTTGGGGACCCAAGAGAGCTGGGGTGCTGGCCAACTCCTTGAAGAACAGGCTGTCTCCACTCATTATCCAGGCTCTGTGGGACCATATGGGGCTAGGAAAGTGCAGGCATAGTTGAAGCTGTGAGGCTGGACCACCTGGGGCGAGCCACTTTGAAGCTGTCTGGGATGCAGATTTTGAGGGAATACCTGGACCTGGCAGGGTGAGGGACAAACAGATATACAACAGGGGCAGAAGATAAAGAGTTTAGGGGGGTTTTTTTCAGGTGTACATTTGGTATTTTTAGGCCCATGGTTCTGGTAGTTGTGGGAGAGGAATCCCAAGTCAGAGAAAGGAGAGATCCCACCCCCAGGAATGGCAGTATGTGGGGAAACTTAGGCTGTTGGTGGGCAGGAGGGCTTTTCTGGAGTCCATTTGATCCACAAGAGATGGATTCAAGTTATTTCCCTGAAGCTTACAGTAATTTTCTTGGGGGGTGGGGGTTCCAGATAGGGTTTCTTTGTGTAACCCTGACTATCCAAGAACTCACTCTGTAGAGCAGGATGGTCTCAAAATCACAGAGATCCACCTGCCTCTGCCCCCTCCCCCACTGAGTGCTGGGATTAAAGGTATGTGCCATCACTGCCCAGCTTACAAGAATTATTTTTTAAGTTTACAAAAAGAGATAAGTTTGAGACACGTTAGCATCACCATTGTTTGTAATCTGTACTGAAATACACATTGTAGAAAAGGCAGTAGACTCACGTCTTTGTGTCGTAGTAGAAGCCTGGGAATTAACTTCAGGTTAAAGCATGAATACTCTGTAAGGCAAGGACAAAGAGGACAGAAACCTCCCACAGAGCAGAGGGCAAAGGCAGACTGTGGAGGCTGGGCCTCTTTCCTCTATCCAGAAGACTGGGTGTATATAGATTAGACAGGTGTTTTGAGTACAGTGAGAAGCACTTTTAAGTCTATGCTTAGAAGACAACCAAAGGGAATTTAAAATCTTGATGTGACTGTGAGAATAGTAGCTAGCACTTACCTATTGTGGACTATGGGAGGTCCAGCCCCTCAGTAGCCCATTCCCAGGGTTTGGGAAGAATCTAAGACCAGCTGATAATCTAATCTTTGACAATATTAAATGAATCTAAGTACACAAAACTCTTAGTCCACACACTTTATTATTCTGAGTCGGTTCTCTCTCTACACAGCTTCTTTTCTGCCCTCATGCTTAGCTCCTCTCTGTCCTCTTTCCATGTCCTCTCATAGCCCTATCTAAACTCTCATGCTTTCAGTCTCATCTGTAGATGAGACTGTTCCTTCATCCTCCATCTTTCCTTCCTCTTCTCCCCTCCTGACCTAATTCAAATCCACCTACAGTCTGCAAAACTTTTCCTTGCTCCTTACCCATCAGCCCAAGTCTGTCTGCCTTACCATCTACAGAAACTCTGCCTTGTTATCATCTCTCTGGCCACATGACTCTGCTCAGACCAGGAATTCTGCTCCAGTCTTTACTGCACCTGGTTATGCAAAAAACTCCTTTGTCTTGAGTCAGTAGCTCTGGAATACCACTAGGCCTGAAGGGATGGTCTGAGTTTCATTTGCACAAGAAACAAAGCTATGCATCTACAATCCACCTGTCTCCTAGGCTCTGTAGGGGTGTTACCTAGTAGATCAGCAGTAGGTCTGAGAAGCTTAACTGTTTGCTATATGGCCTAGTAGTATATGAATACACAAGAATTTCATAGCAGAAGACAGCTGATATATTAAAAGAATAACACCAAATATTCCCTGATAAATGGCTTCCTTCTAGAAAGATTCCTTGACCTTTCTAGGTGTAGCTTTATTATATACAACTGAATCTCTATAATATATTCTTGCATCTTGCAGCAATTTCCCTTTTCTTGTTTAGTAAAAAAAGGATGTTCAATTCTCTCTAGGGCAACAAATGATGTGGATAAATATTAAGTTTGGAGATGACTGGAAAAATGATAAATAATGGTCAGTTAATATTGATATATCGTCAATATTTGTATCAATAATATATATTTATAATCTATAAAATATATTTATAATCAATAATCTATATACATGGCAAGCTGAGAATTAGTTTAACCATCTAATAGGCATTCTTGTGTATAATTAGAATATCTCTGTCCCAAGAAGTGGGGCAGAGGAATAACATAAAAACCTGTCATTGGATAGTATATCATAATATGGTTAAATGTGTCTAAATACTATGATTCTGACTTATCAAAAAGAAATGGTTGGTTTGGAACATAGACCCTATCTATTAATCTCTGATAAATGGTATAAATTTGGTTAAACTGCATTTTAAAGAGGCATTGTTAGATAAAATTACATGAATTAGTCATGAGCATTTGTGGGACCAAGGCTGCAATTGAAGCTTACCTAATTTAAATTTGTAATCAAGGCAATATTAAACCATTAGCTATGAGAGGACAGTAATAACCTGTGTCAGGGTAAACATAGCAAGACTTCCATACAGAACAATTGTCATAAGTACATGAGGAGAATATCTGATAGTACATACATTTTAGGATCATGGGCAGAATTTATACAATTAGTAATAGAACTTTTTTAAGGGCAGTCCATCCCCTGGGCCGGAGAGCTCAGTATAGAAAAGGGGGTACGTGACAAAGGGGTGTAGAAATCATTCATGGTTACTTCCTGCTGAGATGGGTGAAGCTGAGGGTCTTGAAGGCTGGAACGCAGTGGAAACCCAGGAAGAGCAGCCTCTTTCAGGCTCTCTGAGACATGTGTAGCAGGATTTCCTGTCTCATGGGCTAGAGGGCAGGATCCAGGATTAAGCTGAACAGCACATCCATGTGGGCTGGAGGATGAGATGCAGACCTGCAGCTAGACAGCATGTCCATGGTCCAGAGGTGACAACCGGTAACTCTTTAAATGATTAGAATTTCGGCTGGAAACAAATATATGTATTAATGGTAGAACATGCAGTTGAGGAGTTTGGGGTTTTGTTTTGTTTTTGTTTTTGTTTTTTTTTTTTAAGTGTACCTATGGAATATTAAATGCATAGTTTTAGCAGATGAGAAAAAGGGATTTCAGGCCAGGGAGAGGGAAAGCTCCCCCCACTCCAGAGAAAAGGAAAACTGGTAAGTGGGAGACATAAACTGTAGTCAGGTTACATTCCTCCTGGCCCTTCTTGGCTTGTGAGCATTGGTGAATTTTGATCTCCTGAAGTTTATAAGAACCTTTTTTAAAAGACATAAGCAACATGTGGCTGCTTATATATCCTGATGAGGTCACCAGCCGAGATGGAAGAGAGCCACATGCTATTTAAAAACATCTGTTTTTCTAGTATATATATTCTAATGAGAGTTGAATTCAAGTTCATATACATATATACATACACATATATCTTAAACAAGAGTGGAATCACATATATATATATATATACATGCATATATATTACATATATATCCATGTATAGATTTTTAATTATAAGCCTTTTGTTATAAATTTAAGACCAAATTTTGTTACAGATTTTATAGATTTTAAACCATACACAATGAGCAACTTACAAATCCTGAGATAAGAGTTTAGAGCATAATCTTGAGATTTTTTTTTTGAGAGAAGAGCATGGAGAAATCATAAAGATAAAAGATTTTTAAGAATGGAAAGCAGAGCAAAGTGTAAGGATTCGGTCCTTAATTACATCATCAGCCTTTGATGGCGTCCCAGCCTAAAAAGTGGGTGGGCCCTCGGTGCGCCCCTCTCTTTCCTTTCCGCTCCTTCCTTCCTTCTGCCCCCCTCTCCCTTTCTCTCTCTCTCTCTTCCTCCCCCCGCCCCCACAATAAAGCTCTAAAAGGTAACCATGGCTGTGATTCTTCCAATCAGCACTCTCCTCTGCCAGCATGGCCGCCATGGGCGGCGGCCAGCCACAAGGAGCAGCGCCACAGTGTAACCAACATTGGTGCCGTTCAGACTCGGATACACCACTGAGCACCGAGGACCTGCTGTGACCGCTGCCACCTGCCGCCTCTTCCCCCATCCAGCGAGACCGCGAGACCACAAGCATCCCTCCACACCTCCACTGGACCCCCCCCCCCACAGCTGCCGTCACCACAGTGAGTCTGCCCTTCTCGAGGCTGTAGTCTGAGCTGTATTCTTTGCAATGGACACCCCAGGGGTTATCCTCGGGCTGTACTGGCAACGGCGGGCACATTTCCACTCCTGACGAGGGGGTAAATGGTGTCTAGGGTTCAACCGTGGACCAACTGCAGTACAGCCGAGCCCTCACCTTCCCTTGATGAAGAGGAACGGTGACCTGAGTTGATTCATGGATCTCTCTCCACTCTCGAGGACGCCCAAGATTGTAGTCTGATCCCTGTTTGTTATTTTAATTTTTTATTTTTCTCTCGGCTACAGCCATGAGACAAAGAGGCGGATACATTTACCACCTACATTGGCGGATAGGGGCAGGCAAGGCGTAAACCTGGCCACATAACAGCATCATGGGAACTTCTGGCAGCGAGCGGGCAAATAGGAGTTACTTTATCTCCAAGCTTTCTACTAAAGTTCTAAACCCCTCTCCCTCCCCACTTCTGCGTCTGCCACGTGCAACCTTTTCTGTCTGACTTCTGCCGGCAGTGGCGGGCTCAATTGGGCGGGCTTGGGCGGTTTCCACAACTCGCCCTAACTCACCATAACTCCACCCACTCATTCTCAAACTGCCTTGAGAGGCACAGACGGGTCTGGAAGCAGCTGAGATCCATACAAATAAGTTTACAGTAGTCAGGATGGCTCTTAAGCCAAAAAATCAGCCTATAGCCTCAGACAAGTCTTCCAAAAGGATCGTTTATAGTCTGCCTCCTGGCAGATCTTCCAAAAGTTGTCCTTAAGCCACCAATCATCAGGGGAAAAAATTCAGGACATGGAGTAAAATCTGTCTCTTGTTCCCCAGACCTCTGCGACTAAAACTCAAGCATCTGGAGAGCAAGGCTCCTGACCCCACAGGCAAAAGAATCATCTGTGGTGTTTAAGGTGTGCCAGGGAAGAGATAAAAGCCTGAAAACAAAATTGCCAAGTGCTGGCACTTGCTGACTCCCAAAAACTGTTGGGTCCCTGTTTTAAGTGAGGAAAAGGCCATGGGCTAGTGAATGCCCTGCCAGGCCATCAACAGCCTTGTTAAAAGTGCTGCCTAGAAAGACAACCAGTCAGCTGACTGCCAAGATGCATGGGTACATCAAGCTAAGACCTCCAGCAGACCTAGGCCTGGCTACAGACATGACAGGGAACCCAGAATGCAGCAGGGAAGCGATCCGTTTCTTTCCTTCTGGACACCAGAGCCACTGACTCAGTCCTGGGAGTTTTGGGATGCCACCTCTCCTTTATTGTCGGGTACAGAGGACATCCTTACCACCTCACCAGATTTAATTGCACTCTCAGAGTTACTTAATGAAAAAAGATTTCCACCTAAAATAAGAGCTCATTGCTTCACTCCAGATACACTGCTTGCGTTTCTCACATGCATATAGACAGGGCCCTGATCTTTGCCTTGTCCCTAATTCCAAAAAATAAATTCTCATGCACCATAAGCTTTTCTCTTCCCAGTTCCCTGTTCTAACTCACTGTTGAGCTAATGATACAGGACCACCACAGAACCAGAGTCCAGAGATCATCAAATAAGAAACTGTAACAGCTAAAAGGTATTTACACCCCCAGACCGAAAAGCATCTGGGTGCTACAAAAAGACTTTAATGTAAACATCTATTACTATGAGATGCTTTTACCAATTGATCACCTGTCTCCTAGATGCTGAACTAGTAAAGGAAACAGGTGCTTTAAAATAATCTGTCTCTGATAAAGCTTAACATGTTTCAAAATCCATAGGGACAGGCCAGATCTACCTCAGATAAATGTCAGCATAAAATAATAATGATTCTTTTATCTCTCTAAGTTTTTTTCTGTGTCACCAGCATCTTGTCAAACAGAAAGTTCCCAGCCACAGCCAAGAGGGATACATGTCTCCAGAGCAAACGGATGACAGACAGCATCCCACAACACCTGTCTACCTTAGAAAACTCCCCTTCTCCATTCCCCCAGAGCCAACTGACATCCAAGTCAGCTGGAAGCAGTTTTTGAGAGGAACGACCCCTAGTCCCATCTACCTGCTCTTTTTATAATAAGGGAAAGTCTGGGATGTAAGGATTCGGTCCTTAATTACCTCATCAGCCTTCGACAGCGTCCCAGCCTAAAAAGTGGGTGGGTCCTCTGTGCGTCCCTCTCTTCCCTTTCCACTCCTTCCTTCCGTCTGCCCCCCCCTCCCTTTCCCCCTCTCTGTCTCTCTGTCTCTCTCTCTCCCCCTCCCAATAAAGCTCTAAAAAGGTAACCATTGCTGTGATTCTTCCAATCAGCACTCTCCTCCACCGGCATGGCTGCCGTGGGCGGCGACCAGCCATGAGGAGCAGCATAACCAACTCAAAGCAAGTTTGAATATAAGATATTTGGGGATCATTTGCTTGTGGCAGTAGCAGTTAATTTGTGAGAATTTTGAAATCAAGTTCAACTTTTTTTTTTTTTTTTTTTTTTTTTTTTTTGGTTTTTCGATACTGAGGCCAGGCTGTTGTAATAAAACCTGAGTCTGTGGAGGAAGAGAGAGGGAGTCACAAAGCAGAGCACTGTGCAGGTGTGTTCCTATAAGCTCCAGGAGGGAGGTGAGATCTGAAGCTGGGGGACTGCAGACTGGAGCCAGAGACAGCCAGGAAGGAGACTGCAGGGGAAAAGGGAGATGTCCACGTGGGTGCCTTCTGCAGGAGCCAGGCCATGTGGAGGGCACAACAGGCTAGGAGGAAGCAGCAGCTAAAGAATCGGACTCTAGAATTTGTACTCAAATTCACAAACAAGTGATCAGTACAAACCTCAGAAGAGTTAGATTAGCAACTTGGTTCGGTGCAGGGGAGAACAGGTGTGTGCAATGCTGTGTGCAACTGGCCCACTCCTTGTGTGTCTTCCTCCCCCCAAGGTCCTGCTCTGGCGCCCATTTTGCAACAAACTTACAGATCCACCAACTGTAACTTAAATACAGGACATTTATGCAATGTGGGGAGAAGGACCTGACAAAAACCAAAAACAACAGGACTTGGAGCAAAGGAAAAAGAAATAGGGACGGGGATTCTTTTCCATTCTGATCGCTTGCAGTATTTGTAATGGTGCCAGATGATACTGGGATCTAGAGTGCCTTTAATCAGCCACATTTGGATTGATTATCTAAGGGACATTGAAGCCAGAGTCGACTGCGAAGGTGGATAAGTTTAGAAGCCCTAAGTTGAGCACTAGGTTTAGAGGTTCTCCACGAGGCGTCCCAAAGGAGAACCTGGAGGTACAGATGATGATGGAATTTCCATAGGTGAGGCAGAGGCCCAAGGCCTCAGGGAGGACTGAGTGAAGAAGGTACAAGCCAAACAGTGGGTTGTCACTGTCCCGTTCAGGGCGAGGGCTAAGAGCCTAAGGAGACAGAGGCTCCTGCTGCCGGGCTTTCAAACAAAGCCAGAAGGCAAACAGTGTGCTCAACAACGAAGCCTCACTCAAGGAAAAGGGTCAGAGGTGGGTACCTCTGCCTCCAAGAGTACCAGAGACTCAGGAGCACTTGAGCGGAGTGGGATCACTCACTGATTGCTGCTGATGGATGGAGGGGCTGAGAGATGGGTGGGCCAGAAGGTGGGTCTGTTGCAGACGGACCGGAGACAGGGAAGCACTGTTTTACCTTGTCACTATGCTGTGCTTTAGACTACTAGAACCCAGCCACTAAGCCTGGGGATTCTGTTCCCCAGACAATGGCTCTGTTGCTGCCATTAAGGCAGTCTAACTAATCTCCATCATTCTAATAGAACTCAAGATTCAAAGGCTAGGTCAAAACCTGCGAGCGCAGGGTAGCACCTGGCTAACTCTCTCTCTTTACTGGCATCCTGGAAGCGTCTCTCCTTCCACACCACCCCGACTAAAAAAAAAAAAATGCTAAAGCTCCTCCCTGCTGCTTCCTGTCAACATTTGCCAACCCCACCTCGCTGAGTCCAGGTTGATTTTATTTAATTAATACAAATGCAACACATTTTTACATAGTTAACAAACGTAGCATGAACAAATATAACACAGCTTTGCCTAGTTAAACAAATATTCCACAACATTTCCCCCTTTTGTCTAAATAAAAAGAAAGGTTTTAACTTAAACATACAATAAGAAGAGTTATCAAGTAAGAATTACATTTACAATTTCCAGTCCATTTGTATTTGGCAAATTCATAGAAAACATTCTATTATCTATCCTATCTTGATGAGTCCAAAGCTGTACATAATTTACCTAACCATAACTAAGGAAAACTGTAACTATAACTATCTAGTCTACAACTCCATCAAAGACCCCAGGAGGATATATTATCTGAGTAAACAGCAAGTGCAGAGCAAGTAATTTCCAAAACTATAGAAATGACAGAGACAGCTGGCTGCCTGGACAGTCACCCAAGGTTCCTCTGCAATGTTGGGGCATCCATCTTTGGCCTACAGGCCTAGAGTATCTTGCACACTTTTTCTATGAAGCAGGAATTTTGAAGGACTGTCCTGCCTTGTTTTGGCAAAGTTCAGCAGTCACTTTCCTGTGTGTCCTGCAGAATGTCTGGCAGACTGTTTTTTAGGAAGCAAGAATTTTAGAAGATCTGTCCTGCCTTATCTTGGCAAAGTTCAACAGTCTTTTTCCTTTCTGTCCTGCTTGTTCAGTTTGTACAGCATTCTGTCAGCAGTCAAGGCAAGAGCAGTTTCTTGCCCAAATGACTAGCTTTGCCACAATGAAAGCAAACTCCATATGAGTTTCTTTGATGCCCACCATCCTTTTATGAAGTAGATTGGTGCTGCTGGGAGCAGACATGTCTCATTGTCATGAAAAGCCTTAGGTTATTAAACATCTTAAATGCCATATTCTGTGGGTCTTTGAAGTGTTTGAAGACCATCTATCTAGATATATCTGTTTAACCTCAAAGACATACCTGATATGACTACAAGTTTGATTATTATAGATGACTGACTACTAACCTGCATTTGTTAATTATACATTACACTTTTAAATGAGCTGCATAAGCACAATACCCCAAACAAGACTAGAAGCATACATTCAGCATAAAAAATAACTTTAAATTTGTATCAATATACCAAATCAATACCAATGCAAAATATCTGAGGTTAATAGCTGTCTTTTTATCCTATATCCCCACTAAATGATGACAAACATACATAACCCATCAAATAACCCAAAACCACCCATCCCACCTCTTGGGAATGTGGCGTTTTATTCTCTAGACTGCTTCCTGTTGTCTGGGGTGACAACATCTTTAGGGAACCCTGAGAAAATTGAGATAATGGTCAAGTCCTGGGAAAACTAATTGGAACATTTGTTGTCCAGCCTCTGTGCAATGGGAAAGCACAAGGCTTATCTGAAGTCCTGGCTAGAATAGTCTGTAAGGCTGGACTGTCTCAGCCTGCAGCCTTGAAGCTGTTCTGGATGCAGAACTCTGAGAAACTGCAACAGGGGCACTCTGAGAGTCTGGGTCACCTGGGCCATCTATTTTCATTGGTCCCCTTGCTCTGAAAACACACTTTCAAATGTAACATACATATCTGCATTAACAAGTATGGACTGTACATTTTACACAAGCCAGCCAGAGATGATTTTTTGTTTTATGTTTGAGCAGGTAAAATATACATCACCTGTCTTGTAGTTTTTCTAGGTTTATTTCTTTATGTCTGTAGCCAGGATTTTCGGGGGGGGGGGTCTTCCCCAATCAAACCTTATCTCTATTCATCTTGAATGAATCCACAGCCTTTCGTTTCCTGTGGAAACAAAAGCATAACCTCTTACTCAATGCAACACATTTTCTGACTTCCATTTTAAAGTTAAGGCATTCCTAAAGTACCTAAGCTGGTTTAATTCAGCAGTCCCATGTCTCTCAGCAGCTGTCATTCACTCATCAACATTCAAAAAATTCAAAGCCAGCACAACACCACACATGATCCAGACTCCCTGTGTATGTTTCATCTTTATGTGGCTCTTTTTCCTTTTTATTACTTCACTCTTTCTTACAATACTTTATTATTTTTAAACAATCTCTTTTTTTCATGACTATTTCTATGCCCATTTTTATAGACTATATCTATACTAATTTTCTTTTCTTTCTTAAGCCTATGCGCATTTTTAAATACACTGTAATCTGTTTAGATTTTTCCCCCCTCTGGATCTGTCTTTACTGCATGTCTCTATCCTTTTCTGACCACATGAGCCACACTTTAAACTGCTAAGCAGTGGTCGCTAGACCTTCCACTGGAGGCACTAGCAGCTGGCTCTGCCCACTTCTCAGGTCCTTGAAAGCTAAGCATAAACAGATGGCCCCAATTTGGAGCTGTGCTTGACTGGGAACTGCATTCAGCAGTCCCAGCTCTCGGAAGCTGGTGCCCTGCACTGTGGCAGACATTTTTTGCTTAGCTTGCTGCTTCTACTTAGAGTACTGGCTTTTCCCCCCAGCTATCTCAGGCCCTCTGTGGAAATTCTGGCTTCATGTTAGAACACCAAAGTAGCAGGCTTTTTCTTTGGGGCCACCAACCAGCTCCCAGATCATGACATGGAGACTTATTATTTATTGGTTTTGGATGCTCGGCCTTATCTTAGCTCTTATTTTAATCTGTTTCTCTTTATCTATGTTTTGCCTTGGGGCTTTTTACCTTCCTTTCTGTATGTCCTACTCTGTCTAGCTGGCTGGAGGCTGCCTGGTTGGCTGACCTCGGGCGTTTCCCTCTCTTTCTCCCTCACTCTCCTCTCTTTCTTCTCTCTTATCTAGATTTGGGAGCTGGTTGGTGGCCCAAAAGAGAAAGCCTGCTACAGGATAGGGTCCCAGTGTGGCTTAGACCCTAAGGGGGAGCTCATAGGCACCAGGAGAGTGTCTGCTGAGTCTCAGCACCAATGTTAGGATCTAGCAGAAGATGGTACCTTGGTGGGTTGGGGCCAAGATTTGCCACACAATGTATCTAACACAAGAGGTTTATGGAGCATCGAGCAAAAGGCTGTCTCGGGGTGGGGACATGAGAGAAAGATACAGACAGACATATAGACAGACAGACAAGACTGGAAGGCAGAGAGAAAGAACAAGAGAACACTCTTGGATGGCAGGGACCTTTTAAAGAATTGGCAACTAGTGATAAAGTAGCTGTTGAGCCACTGTGTTCCCTGAGGGCAGGCTGAGGGAGTTTCTAACATCTACCCCTTTGTATTTCTCCTAGGGAAAAACTACTATAGATACAGGGACCCTAAAATCAAACACCTCCAGATTATGAGTCTATGATTCAACTCATTCTCCTAGAACCAGGGGAATGTTGAGTTACTAAACTATAGATACACCATCTCATGAAAGTATTCCTAAGAATACTTTTAATTGCTAAAACTATCTTGGGAAAACTGGTCTCTGGTCACTTAGACCAGCCATAAATTCCTATACAATGTGTCCTTGACCTAAAGGTTGTGAAAATTGCCCAGCCACTCAACTGCTGAGCATCTGGAATTGGAACCCCATGGAAGAAGTGCTGTGTCTCGTTTGGCTGGAAACCCCACCCCCTCTCAGAAAGACCACCAAAAGTCCAGACTGCCCCCTGAAGCTCAGAACTGCACCAGCAGGGTATTTAAGTCAGTCTTTAGACCAGCAATGTGATTCTCCTGCCCGCCTCCCCCGCCTCACCTCTGGGGGGCTGGAATGTCACCTGAGAGTGGTTGGCCCAATAAACCCGGTCTTTTTAATTTGACTTAATCTGGCTTACTACATCAGCAGAGAAACCTACTATTGAGGTTCAAAAACCTGTCATCTTGGTGCCGAGCCCGGGCAGAGTTGAGCATTCCCCACCAGCCCCAGGTTATGTGGGAAGCCAATCTCTCTCTTGCACTGCCCTCTGCCAGACCGGATCAACTTTGGTCTCGAATAAGTCACCCATTTCCAAGCAAAAACCCTATCAGGGTCCGGGACCTCCTCCAGGCCTTTTGACCCTCTCTGGGTCACAGACTTCCGGGTTACCTGCCAAGCTGCTGCAGCACCAGGCAGCCCGTTTCCAGAGCAGAGGCAGTCCCTGCTCCATGGGGTCCTTCCTGTTCAGAAGACGTTCTGCACAGAAGCCGTCCCCACATTGATCCTGGCCCTAGGCTATAGCACTGGATGCACTGGATGCAGTGCTACAGCCTTCGGTCTCTGGAAAATGTCTTATAAATGGGTAACTGCGGGGCTGGAGAGATGGCTCGGTGGTTAAGAGCACTGGCTGCTTTTCTGAGGTCCTGAGTTCAATTCCCACCAACCACAAGGTGGCTCACAATCATCCATAATGAAATCTGGTGCCCTCTTCTGGCCTGCAGGAATATATGCAGAACACATAAGTCTTTAAAAATACATACATACATACATACATACATAAAAATGGGTAACCGTGGGTCCAAGTCCAAGCCCCCCTCCCATGGATTTGGTTCTTAATTACATCATCAGCCTTTGACGTCATCCCAGCCTAAAAAGCAGGTGGGCCCTCTGTGCGCCCCTCTTTCCTTTCTGCTCCTTCCTTCTGTCTGCCCCCCTCTGTCCGCCCCCCCCCAATGAAGCTCTAAAAAGGTAACCATGGCTGTGATTCTTCCAATCAGCACTCTCCTCTGCTGGCATGGCCGCTGCGGGCAGCAGCCAGCCACAGGAGCAGCGCCACAGTGTAACCAACATTGGTGCCATTCAGACTCAGATACACCACTGAGCACAGAGGACCTGCTGTGACCACTGCCGCCTGCCGCCTCTTCCCCCATCCTGCGAGACCGTGAGACCGTGAGCGTCGCCGCCTCTGCTGGACCCCCATATGGCTGCCGTCACCACAGTGAGTCTGCTGTAGTTCTCGAGGCTGTAGTCTGAGCTATATTCTTTGCAACAGACACCCCAGGGCTTGTCCTCGGGCTGTACTGGCAATGGCAGGCACAGTTTCGCTCCTGACGAGGGGGTAAATGGTGTCTCGGGTTCAACGGTGGACCAACTGCAGTACAGCCGAGCCCTCACCTTCCCTTGATGAAGAGGAACGGTGACCTGAGCTGATTCATGGATCTCTCTCCACTCTCAAGGACGCCCGAGATTGTAGTCTGATCCCAGTTTGTTGTTTTAATTTTTTATTTTTCTCTCGGCTACAGCCATGAGACAAAGGGGCGGATACATTTACCACCTACATTGGCGGATAGGGGCAGGCACAGCGTAAACCTGGCCACATAACAGCATCTTGGGAACTTCTGGCAGCGAGCGGGCAAAAAGGAGTTACTTTATCTCCAAGATTTCTGTTAAGTTCTAAAACCTTCTCCCTCCCCACTTCTGCTTCTGCCACGTGCAACATTTTCTGTCTGACTTCCGAAGGTAGTGGGTGGGCTCAAATGGGCGGGCTTGGGCAGCTTCTATGACTCGCCCTAACTCACCATAACTCCACCCACTCATTACAAGCCTTTCTCTTCCCAGTTCCCTGTTCTAACTCACTGTTCAGCTGATGGTACAGGACCACCACAGAACCGGAATCCTCAACATCTTGTCAAACAGAAAGTTCCCAGCCACAGCCAAGAGGGATACATGTCTCCAGAGCAAACGGATGACAGACAGCATTCCACAACGCCTGTCTACCTTAGAAAACTCCCCTTCTCCATTCCCCCAGAGCCAACTGACGTCCAAGAGTCAGCTGGAAGCAGCTTTTGAGAGGAACGGTGCCCCTAGTCCCATCTACCTGCTCTTTTTATAATAAGGGAAAGTCTGGGATGTAAGGATTCGGTCCTTAATTACATCATCAGCCTTCGACAGCATCCCAGCCTAAAAAGCGGCTGGGTCCTCTGTGAGTTCCTCTCTTCCTTTTCTGCTCCTTTCTTCTGTCTTCTGGACTCTCCCCCAAACCCAATAAAGCTCTAAAAAGGTAACTGTGGCTTGTGATTTTTCCGATCATCACTCTCCTCCGGCGGCATGGCCGCCCTGGACGGTAGCCAGCCACTAGCAGCGAGCCATTTAACCAACAGTGTCTGCTACAAAATTTATCCAAATTGTGTCCAAAACGCCTGGTGTCCTTGTGCTCTAGGGCCTGGCCTCAATACGCTCTTGATAACCAGTCACTATGGCCAGCAGAGGGCACTCTTGACCTTACCGTCCTTCGTGATGCATATGGACAAATGGTCCGAGCTGCCGTGTATTCATGGTTTTGGGGGCCCCTGAGCTTGCCCCTCCCTTTGCAGCCAGTGCCCCATGACCCAGGCTTTGCTGGCTAGGGTTGTGGCGCGTCCAGACTCCCACTTATCTGGGGACTGGGTCCCTGAACCATGGTGCCCGAATCTCTGGTATCTTCGCCTCTCTCGCTCCGTTCTCTGTTGGTCTGTCTACCAGGCTCCCGTGCCTTCACTCCAAGATGACCTTCACTCTTAACTCTCCCGGTGTCCCCGAAAAACTTCTCTTACGTTCCTGGTGTGTTCTCTTAGCGGCATACCCTGGCAGGGCCTGCCAAAGAGTGCCCACTTGGCCTTTACTCACCAGGCTCTCCTGGCGTTTGGTCTGGTTCTTCCCACAACAGACCCATTCTCTCTGTTCCCGCCGGCTCTCCCACCACACCGGGCTGGAATCCTACCCTCCCCCTCCACCCATAGCAGATCCGTTGTTCTCTTTGTCTGCCCTGCCTGCTCTCCAACCCTAAACTGTGTAAACGGCTACACTTTCAGTCTCTTAACCTCTAAGACTCTACTTCCTCACTCCTAAAAAAATCTCTTCTTCCAAATCCTCCATTTACAGTTCTAGCTCGCTCATCCGGGCTTTCTTCCCATCTCGGGCAGTCTGCCCTGCTACCTTGCTCTTCTCCAGGCTCAGGTGCGTGGGGCGCTGCCCCTTGTGAGCCCGCGGCGCCCTCCCCACCCCAGACCCTGCAGCCTGTGAGCCCAGCACCATGAGTGGCCGCACCCGGCCACCCACGGCGGTCTGGCCCAATAGAAGCAGTACGTGCGCGATTACAGCGCAGGAATCTGCGCTGTCGCTGGTACGGCAGATCGGGGCAGATCATGCTGGCTGCTCACGGAGCCTGTGGGCAAGGATCCGTGGAAGCTATCTGGGTGTAGCTTCTGACATGACTAGCAGACATAATCTCACAGGAAACTCCCTGACCCTCTGGCTCTTATAATCAATCTTTCTGCCTCCGATTCTACAACGATCCCTGAGCCTTAGGTGCGGGAGTTGTACTGTAGAGGCAGCCCTTGGGACTGGGGTCCACGGCTCTGCATTGAGATTGGTTGTGGCTTTCTGTAATGGTCTCCATCTATTGCAAAGAGAAATTTCCTTGATTCAGAGTGAGGACTGTAAGCCAGCCCCAATACACTTATCTGCGGGTATAAGGACAATTATTTAGGATTTAGTTAGGGATTACACTGGTTTAGTAATGTGGTGATTGTAGATTCTCCTCCAAGATCCATGATCTCAGTGGCCCTGGGAGGCTGGCTAGGTTTCCTGTACTAGAAATGATTCCCCTCTTGTTGAACAGGTCTTAAGTCCATTTAGAGAGACGTTAATTCCTCCAAGGTATGTGGGCCACTACTGTAGCCCTAGGGTTTGGTTTTGTTTTCATTGATCTTTCATTGAGCTGTTTTCGTGGTGGTGGTGGTCGTGGTGTTGTTACCTATAGCATTTCTTGTTCACCGGGTTTGATAGCAATAAACTCCTCCAGCTTCTGCTTAGTTGGGAATATCTTAATTTCTTTCCTTTCCTTTTTTGTTGAATTTTGTTTGTTTGTTTAGCTTTGTGGTTCTGATGACTGAACCTAGGACCTTATACATGGTAGGTGTTGTGGTTTGAAAAAGAACGGCTTCCATAGATCCACGTATTTGAATGCCTAGTCACCACGGAGTGGAACTCTCTGAAAGGATTAGAACCATTAGGAGGTGCGGCTTTGCATGTCACTGGGGGTGGGCTTTGAGGTTTCAAAAGCCCATACCAGGCCTTCTCCTTCACCTTCTTCCTCTCTGTCTGTCTGTCTGTCTCTCTCTCTCTGCCTCTGTTCCAGTGCCTGCTGGCACACCACCCTGCTCTCTGCCATGAGGATATTGGACTAACCCTCTGATGCCGTAAGCCAGCCCCAATGAACTGCTTTCTTTTGTAAGAGTTGCCTTGGTCACGGTCTCGCTTCCCAGCAGAACACTAACTGTAGTAGACAATAGGCAAGTGCTTCCCACTGAGCTGTATCCCCAACTTGTAACATTTTAACTTCATCTTCATAGGAATGAACAAGTTACTTGGTTGGCAGAAGTTTTCCCTCTTACAGCACTTTAAATATATCAACCCATACCTTCCAGATCCCAAGCTACCCGCTCAGAAACTTCTGGAGGCTTTCTGGTCCAGGTGAGGAACTGTGCTCTTGCTTTCAAGATGATCTCTGTGCTCCATGCTGCTGATGTACATCAAAACGGGCAGCACTGGGTTGTCACCCACTGGAAACCACGCCCAGAGACCATGGCTTCTGTGACTCATACACACACACACACACGTCTGGTAGACAGTATTTAAAACAACTGTCATTGAACAAAATGTTACATGTAGTGTACAATGCTCAAGAAAGTCTTTATCAGAGATGATAATATGCTCTGTTGTTCATGTACCAAGCTGTTAAAGCATATCCCCAAAGTATGTATTTTATGTGCACCACGAGTAGCTAAATACAGTGTTCCTCTGAGATAACTGGCCCCTGAGTCGGCCCAGGGTCGTGGTGCTCATTGTGAGAATCCTGTAAACACAGCATTGCCAGAAGTCAGCATTCCTCTCACACCACCTCTGTGAAGCTGGTTTCATGGAGAAAGTGTAAAATAAAATCTTTCACAAATCTTCCCCCTAATAAGCACAAAGCTGAGACTGTGGTGATATATTATGTATCAAATAAAGCTTGCCTGAGGATCAGAGGACAGAGCCAGCCACTAGATTAAACATAGAAGCTAGCCAGTGAGGCACACACCTTTAATCCTAGCACTTGAAGGCAGAGGCAGAGATCCATCTGGATCTCTGTGAGTTCAAGGCCACCCTAGACTATACAAGATTAATCCAGTCTAAAAGAAACAGAGCCAGGCAGGGGTGGCACACACCTTTAATCCCAGCACTGGAGATCTCACGCTTTTGCTACCAGTATTTGGGAAGCACACAAGCCATTAATCCCAATACGAGGAAGGTTGAGACAGGAAATGATATGGCTGGGTGGAGAAAGATATATAAGGTGTGAGGAGACAGGAACTAGGCCCTTCCGGCTGAGGACTCAGAGGCATTCAGTCAGAGGATTCGTGGAGTTGTCGAGGTGAGAAGTGGCTGTGGCTTGTTCCTTTGTCCCTCTGATCTTTCAGTATTTACTTCAATATCTGGCTCCAGGTTTTATTAAGACCATTTAGAATTCATGCAACAGGAGACCTGTGTGAATAGACGGTATCAGATGAACAATGCTGAGCATAATGATTTGTGGAGAGGTTGTGAGGCTCCCTCAGTAATGTGGCTCATGCTCTCAAACACAGCATTAAAACAGAAAAACTGGGCATGGTGGTGCATGTCTTTAATCCAGCACTCGGGAGGCAGAGGCCTGAGGGTCTCTGTGAGTTGGAGGCCAGTTTGGTCTACAGAGCGAGTCCTGGGACAGCCAGGACTACACAGAGACACTTTCAAAATAAATAAGTAAGTAAATCATAGGAGAATGCAGTACTAGAAACCTGTCTTCTAAACACAATGCTTCACCTCAATCACCCATTCACCTGCCCCTGTGAACAGTGTGCACCTGCTGTATACTGTTCATCTCAATCACTCATTCACCTGCCACTGTGAAGAGTGTGCACCTGCTGTATACTGCTCATCTCAATCACTCATTCACCTGCCCCTGTAAAGAGTATCCACCTGCTGTATACTGCTCATCTCAATCACTCATTCACCTGCCCCTGTGAACAGTGTGCACCTGCTGTATACTGCTCATCTCAATCACTCCTGCACCTGCCTACTTAAACACAGACTAAAGATATATATCAGTGATCAACGTCCTGCACACACTATATGAACACTGCTGAATACAGTGGTTCATAGGTTTGACCTGCATGCAGTAACTCAGGAACGCTGATGTTGTCAGTCCAGAGACTAGTCATATGCACACAACACATCTATCAACACAGCATTACTGGTATTTCGCCCACTTTGGCTGTTGTATGGTATTGCGTAACACGCAGGGACTGAATGTGCCTTTAGTCCCGTCGTTCCCGTCAGCAGCTGCCCCACTTTTCATAGGGTCATAACGCACCTGCCTGCTGTCCAGTGACAACACAACGGAGGGTGAGCAGTGACTGCATCCTCTCCGGTTTGCGTGTGATACACACGTGACACTATAACGCACACATACATGAATAAGGTGTGTGTCCCCTCTTTGAGTCACTGCAGGGTTTAGTATATTCCACTGTGACATGATGCAGCTGAGCTTTGTGGTCTTGATGACATGACACCCTCAGGAACATCGTGACATACTGTGAATCAAGGGCTGGTCCCTCTTTGGCTTGTCTTATAATTATTAGATAAACATTAGATATTAGATGTATTATGTAGTCACCCAAAGTGACAAAAATGTGTGCCCCGACAGTTGTCATATATCTCATGTGACACAGTGTAGGCCAACCTGAGCCCTCTCTCTGTTGTCACATAGTACCATGTGACATGTGGCTGGTGCCTCTCTCCTCTCAACCGATACATTCCACTTATGCATATCTAATGTATCTCAGATCCGCATCCCAGCTCATCTTGTACATGACATTTTACGTAATGTAGGGTGAAGACTCACACCTGATGTGCTCATTCTTCATCCCCATGAGGACAGATTGCAGCCCTGGCACATTGCATTACAATGTCACAGATGATGCCACACCACCTGTATGAGAGACTGTGGCTCACGGTCTGCATACTGTCTCTAGACTGCCATATTAAGGAAAAAGGTGAAAAACTGTAACTCCAGCCTCCATTCCTGACCATCTTAAGGAACCATCTATGCACAGTGGCCTGATGTGAAGCTCTGTTCTCCTCTGGATGACTGTGTGACATCATGATGTAATGTGGCTCAGTCTCAGGTATGTGTCCTTGTTGGGGTCTGTTAGTTTGTGTCTTAATCAGTGTGTTAAAGAGACAGTTAAGAAGTGCTCACACTCCAATATCCAGAGTTGAGTACATGAACATTTAATGACCTTTTTTTAGAGCCCAGGTCTCATGTATCTCAGGCCAGCCTGGAATTCACAATGACAGAGATGACCCTGAGCTCCTGACTGTGCCCCCAGTTCCCGAGTACTGGGATTCCAGGCCCCCCCCATGCCTGATTTCTGTGGTGCTGCAGACAGAACCCCAGTGCACCATGCAGAGTAGGCAAGCACTCTACCAACTGAGCGACATCCCTGCACTGGCTGCTTCTGTGTGTCAACTTGACACAAGCTAGAGTCATCAGAGGAAGGACCCTCGGTTGAGGAAACGCCTCCATGAGACCCAGCTGTAAGGCATTTTCTCAGTTAGTGATCAACAAGGGAGGGCCCGGCCCATGGTGGGTGGTGCCATCCCTGGGCTGGTGGTCCTGGGTTCTATAAGAAAGCAGGCCGAGAAAACCAGGGGAAGCAAGCCAGTAAGCAGCTCTCCCCCATGGCCTCTGCATTCAAGGTTCCGGCCGGGTTTGAGTTCCTGCCCTGACTTCCTTCAGTGATGAACAGCGATGCTGAAGTGTAAGCCTAATAAACCCTTTCCTCCCCACCTTGGTTTTTGATCATGGTGTTTTGTTGCAGCAATAGAAACTCTAACAGACAATCTCCAGCTGCAGATGACTTTTAAGTGTATGATTTAAATAATTCATCATAATTTGGTATACTGTCAACATTAAATTACAGTTACTTTGGAGTATATTTATTCATGCAAAAATTACTTCTTCATGTACAGGTGTCTTAGTGACTTTTCTATTGCTGTGCAGCCACTACGACCAAGGCAACTTATTGAAGGGGTTATCGGGGTCTTAGTTTCAGAAGGTGAGTCCATGGCCATCATAGTGGGAAGCATGGCATCAGACGGGCAGGCAAGGCCCTGAGGCAGTAGCTGGTAGCTTACACCTTGATCCATAAGCATGAGGTAGTGATGGGGTGGAGGGAGAGGTGGGGGCACCAGCCTCCAGTGACACACCTCCTCCAACAAGGCCACACCTCCTAATCCTTCCCAAATAGTCCCACCAACCGAGGGCCAAGTATTCAAATATACGAGCCTATGGGTCCATTCTCATTCAAACCACTACAAAGTTTCTTCACTGTAATTTTAAGTTATTCAGATCTGAATTCACGCCGGGCAGTGGTGGTGCACGCCTTTAATCCCAGGACTCGGGAGGCAGAGGCAGGGGGATCTTTGTGAGTTCGAGGCCAGCCTGATCTACAGAGCGAGATCCAGGAAAGGCACAAAGCTACATAGAGAAATCCTGTCTTGAAAAAAACCAAAAAACAACAGATCTGAATTCACTACTTCAGAGCTTATCATGGCCCGAGAAGATAAAAAGAATGTATGCCAGATGCTTCAACGACATATAGATAGATAGATAGATAGATAGATAGATAGATAGATAGATAGATAGATAGATAGATAGATGACACTGCATGGAATGTAACTGTAAAAGCGCCAGCCTTTCTGCAGCGGCATAGTGTAAGAAACCCTGCTTTAGGAAGGTGTCATTCCTCTTATTCGTGCTGCAAGCTAAGAATTTTGACACTGCCAGGGGCTGGGGAGACGGCGCAGTGGGTCAAGGACCTGCTGAGCGAGCGCGAGTTCAACTCCCAACACCCTTTTCTTTTCCATTCTCCAGTTGCAGACTGTTGCTGGAGTTTACAGCTTGTCTGTGGGGTGGGGCTTCTTTTAAGCTCTAATAAAATTGTCCTTGTGCTCCATGTGTGTCCATTCTTAAATTATTTTATGAATGAAGCTAAGAACCCCAAAGGGAAGCTGGATTTCCGCTGTATGGTTCTCCTGCAGTCCCCAGGGTGGAGGACAACAGTCCGGCCAGCGTCCGGCCTCCAGCGGCCTGCCGAGTCCGCGCACACTCCGTGCTGGCCGGACCCGCTCCTTTAAAACACCGGGATGCAGGGGTCAGGGCGTGCACCTCCGAGGTCAGGTCCCTCCGGGAGCCCAGCGAGCCCCAGCTGCCCCCCACTGCCCCCGCCCCGACCAAGCGCGTCCAGCAGCCTCTGGAGGGGAGGGGCGGGTCCTTCCGAGCGTGACGCACGGCGCGGAGAGCCCACACTTACCGCAGGGGCGGGGCGCGTGCGTCATCCGCGCCGGAGATTGACGTCAGGGGGCGGGGCTCGCCGGCGCGTCCGGGAGAGGCGGACTGGGGGCCGGCGGGTGGCCGGGTATGGACCGCTACGCGGGCGCCGGGGATGAGGCTGCGGACCGGGCCCGGCAGCAGGAGCGGCACTACCAGCTGCTGTCAGCGCTGCAGAGCCTGGTCAAGGAACTGCCCAGGTTCGGGGCCGGGCCAGGGGCCGTCGGCCAGGGGCGGGGGGCGTGGACCAGGGGCCGGGCGGCCGGGGGGACCGGG